ATTCGTTATGTACCTCTCAGTTGGGTAAAAGATGCAGAAAGCCCTTCCAGTGAGGGCGGGCCCAATGGAGAAGGCTGTTGTTGCTCCCTTGGTAGCGGTTAACAGATGCAGAGGCTTGCTGCGGGAGAGCTCGGAGGGGTTTCTCACTTTCAAGTAGTGTATTGGTGATGATCGGGGATATCATTTTACACCCAGCAGCAAACACGCTAGTGAGTCGGTGTCAGCCTGATGAACTGTTTAGCTGCTGATTTGCTGTTTAACCCATTTTAATGGGAGATGAAGTAGCCCTTTACGGTGGCGGGTCTGGCTGTCTTGAGAGAGTTTATTCTCTTATTCAGTGCGTGGTGACTACTCTCCCTTGCTGCTTCATGGCTTTCAAAGCAGAATCGGGAGCTACAAAACTTTCCTCTGGGAACTCAAACTGACTTCTTAAAATCTGATTCTAGGAGCTCTCTGAGCTCTAGGCCCTTGGTCCGTTGCAGTAACTCGATTTTTATTCAGCCAGGGTAGCAGATTCTCTCTGGTGTTTCCTCTGTGTCCATTGTTCTTTACATTACACCTTTCCTTCCAGTGAACTTGCTGAGAGCACATTTAATTTTACTCTTTTGTACATCCAGAGAAAGCCCCTTTGCCACTGCTGTTAGCCCTGCTCAGCAGGGAGTTCTGCTTGTGTGTGCAGAGAGACTCCGTAAGGGAAGAGACGTGAGATTAAGTGAAGCATAATCACTTCTCCCTGCCCAGGCTCAGTAAATTCCTAGTCCCTGTTTTTTAAAGAGCACTTAGTCCACTTTGAACTCCATCTGCAGAGTGGCTGGTGCTCTCTCTGGTGTGACCAGAGGAATGGTTTAGCTGGCTTTTGGGTTCCCCTCAAACTTCACCCAGAAGTAGACAGGAGAGATTGGGAGTAACTGCTCCTCCTCCTCTTCTCCCATCTCCTTCAGTAATTTTACTGAGTCAGTTCTGAGTGCTTCACTCTTTTGTCCAACCCTAGAACAAAGTACCAATGTAGCTTGTGAGGCATGCGCTCCTGCTCATCCATTTGCCATTCTGTCTGCTTCCTTGTGTGAAGCGAGCCAGTTACAGCCTGAAAACAGGCACTAAGGGCTGTTGTCGGCACTCATTGAAAATAAACACAGCGCCATGTTTTCTGTTCTGGGTGCTTTGGAAATCCCGTGGGTAGAAAGCCAAACTCTGTGTCTTTGAGACGGAGAGAAGAAATAAAGCAGTTTAACGTGGTGTTTTTTTTTCCCTCAGTAAGAAATAAACTCTGATGGTAATGCCGACTGCAGCTTTTGGGACTTCCTCTGATTTCTTTTTGGGATGGAAACTTAACACTTTTGCACCCTCTAATGGCACAGTTTTCAGATATGCGTTGAAACTTTCCAGTACAGTCAGGGATCTGCAGAATTCAAACCACAGTCGTGATTCATACAGGAATTCTAAAGCGTAGCCATCTTCTGTGGGGAGGGGCTCTCTGCAACTACTGAAAATGGCTGCGGGGTTTCTGTTTTTCCTGGCATCCAGCCTAGAAAACTTCACATTAGTTACGTTAGAGCCCGTTGCTTCTAGCTAGTGTTCCTTTTCCTCTCACAACTGTCATTGACCGTATGTAACAAAGTCCAACAAAAATAATTTTGATCTTTTACCCACTGTAGTGTGTTTTTGTTATCGGCCAGGGCCAGATAGCGAGCCGTGTGTCAACTTGT